GGATCCTGCAGATAGCGTAAGTTTAACGCACAATTTGCCGGCATTTCTATTTGAGTACATCGCATTCGAACATAATGGCGTTGAAATAGAACGTGTTCGTGAACCAGGGCTCACATCGCTAATTAGAACCCTTCTACACCATAACGATGTGGAATGTAAATCATTGGAAATTGCCGGGTTAAAATGGCCTCCTGAAGGAGCCTTACCCACGGTGGACAGCGCAAACGATAACTTTGTATTTCAAATCCCACTTGTGCACATTTTTGGATTATTTAGAGACTACAATCAGGTTATGAGAGGTCGTTTCAAGTTTAGGTTTGTCAGAAGCCGCACAGATTCAAACTGTTTTAAATCTATATCGACTAAAGCCGACCCCAGCACTGCAGAGTTTACCATAAAGACAGTGTCATTACTGGCGAAGCATGTTTATCCCAGTCCATCGATAAAGATTAAACTTTTGGATGGGCTAAATAAAAATTCGAATATAGCCGTACCTTTTCGTAAATGGACGTTTTATGAATTGCCATCTATGAGACGGGGGAATAAAGAGATTTGGCCTGTTACATCAACTACTAACAGGGGTAGACCGCAATATGTTATAGTGGCATTCCAAACCAATCGAAAGGATCAGCCGAAATCTGATTGTACGCTGTTTGACCACTTGAACATTATAGATCTTAAAGTCTATTTAAATTCATATTCCTACCCATTCGAGTCTATGAATTTGGATTTTACGAAGGAAAACTACGTTGAACTATATAAAATGTATACGGAATTTCAATCATACATTTGGGAATCTAACCGAAAACAACCGATAATGGATTTCAACAGCTTCAAGAAAAGACCTCTATTCGTAATTGATACCACAAAGAATAATGATGAGGAAGCGGCGCCATCTGCATCATGCGAAGTACGGCTTGAAATTCAGAGTGATAAAGATTTTCCCGCCAAGACGAAGGCATACTGCATCCTAATACAGGAATCTATGTATACCTATAAACCGTTGAGTGGGGAGGTATCAAGCGTTATTAATTGAATCAATTTCGATCGCACGTCATATTCCGAGTTATGGAGTCACGTAGAGCGGTAGTTGATATTCAGGGGTTTTATATTGACTCTGAATTTATAGTTAAAGAATTCACGCTTCTGGACCTGATCACCGACTATGCCGTACATCTCCACTTCAAGGCCGACAGACCCTTTCGATGCTTATCGGTTCAAGATCAACGTTCCGCCAGGTATTTAGAGCGAAATCATCACAAACTATCGTACATTGGAGGATGGATGGATCTGTCGATGGGGCTAAATTTACTGGACGATATAGTATCGTTCTATGGTGAGGTATATGTGAAGGATAGTCAGAAGAAGGAGTTTTTGGAAAGTAGACCTTATTATCGGTACCGGTGCCATCGAAATTTAAGGGTTAGGGACATTGCCTCGGAGTATTCTGAGAAGGAGGTTGAAGAAGATACTAAATTGACGGCAACTTCCAATCCATGCTGGTTCCACAACGACGCTCCGGCTGTTTGCTCGCAAAATAACGCCATAATTTAAAAAAATTTTTTATGTAATTCGTATAGACGTGCTATATAAGAAGTTGTTAAAATTTTTTTAATATATCATCTATATTTAGAATTTTTTGTATTTATTTTTGAATCCTTATGCATCCTTCAAGCATTCACTGTCTAACCTCCATCACGTAAANGGTTGAAAAGCTTTCGGACTCCCCAACATACCAGCTGGCCAAACATCTTGCAAAGATTCTGTCTCCCTTTACAGGTAACACGGAATCGTATGTCAGGGATTCTACACATTTTGTGGAATCGGTAACAGGTGTAAAGCTGGATGCTAGTGATATGTTGGTAAGTTTCGATGTGGAATCTCTTTTTACTAGGGTACCAGTTATGGATGCTGTTTACTGCGGTTTACCAGAATACGTGCCAGATCTGGTGGAGTATTGCTTATCGTCGACGTATTTCAGCTGGAAAGGAGAATTTTACGAGCAATTCGAAGGGGCAGCCATGGGATTTCCACTATCGCCAGTTATAGCTAATTTCTACATGGAATTATTCGAAGAGGACGCTTTGAAGAAGAGCCAAAACTATGGCTCCGATATGTGGATGACACGNATCCTTATGCATCCTTCAAGCATTCACTGTCTAACCTCCATCACGTAAATATGTACATTGTGATAGTTATTTTAATATATACGCTCTGGATGCTTCCAACCCTAATTTTAACACCTTTACCGAGCCACCGATCTGACAGACCTGAGGTAAATTTTATTTTCCTAGTGTGGCCACCCTGCTTGACCTTGGTGGATGCGCGTGTAGGTAGCTTCCCCCAATCTCCCTACCAACCCTGCGTGATGCTCATATTTTAGTTTGAGTGAGTCGTTTGCCTGTGGTGTGTCAATGTTTGAAAGTCTACCGGTCTCGCGTACCGGACAGCTCTGATAGCGTGATTTACTGCTTGGTCTCAGATACCGGTTAGCTCCGTTAGTGGTTTATGAGTAATTAGTAATGAAGTAATTGAGATTTATTTGTGGAGTTTATTCTATTTTTTTATTTGATATCCAGACCCTATTTACTGAGACATCAAATGGATCGTCCCACCACATGTTCTGGAGTTCGGAGAGACAGTCGAGACTTTCCACATGTGATAAATAGATTACTTAGGGATGTTGAATTGAGCTCTTCTGAGGGAAGTGATGTAGACGATTCAGATGTTGATCCGGACTATTTCCTCCCCAATGACCACAGTGGCAGTGATACTGTAAGTGATTCGGATCCTGACGATGAGGGTTTATTAGATGAGGTAAGAGAAAACACAACTACTGATAATGATTTACCAGACTATGTCAGTGGACGTCTAAGAAAAAAAGAGTTCGGCCCAGGATACCCTTGGTGTACTAAGAGTCCAAGTACAAATCGACGATTACGTACTCCTGCCCATAACATTATCAGAGGTCGGTTGCCAGGTTTGACAGCACAAGCGAGAACGCTTGGAAACAGTCCGGAGAAAAAAGCTGTTTGGGATTTCATTGTTGACACCGCTGTAATTGATAGCATAGTTACTAACACCAATATCAAATTATCAAAAGTAAGGAGTGGTCTTGCTGTCACAACTAATAAGAGTACTTATAGAGAAACAGATCCTGTTGAAATCAATGCCCTAATTGGACTTTTGCTCCTGTCGTCTGTCACCAAATCAAATCATGAGACAATGCTCTCGTTGTTTTCCAAAGATTCAACAGGAAGGCCATACTTTTATGCTGCCATGACCTACAAACGCTTTGAAATACTTCTAAAATGTTTGCGATTTGATGATTCAGCTACACGTGATGAAAGAAAAAAGACGGATAAGGCAGCAGCCGTGTCAGAGTTATTCAATACTGTAATTCAAAACTCAAAACGGGCTTATAGTTTGTCTGAATATGTAACGATCGATGAAATGTTGGTTCCTTTTCGTAGGAGGTGCAGCTTCCGGATGTTCATGCCGAACAAGCCCCACAAGTACAGGATAAAAGTTATGTGCATGGCCCACTCAAAAACGTCCTACTTGTATGATGCCTACATATACACAGGCCAGGGTAGCGATGGAATAGGACTTACACGACAGGAACAACAACTAAGCAAGCAAACACAGTCCGTGATTCGCCTCACCAAAGTTATTCAGAGAAGTAACAGAAACATAACGGCTGATAACTGGTTTTCCAGTATTGACACCGCTGAGGAGCTAGTAAAAAGGGGGCTCACCTATGTGGGAACTCTGAAGAAGGATAAAAAAATTATCCCTTCAGAATTCTTTCCTGACAAAGAGCGACGTTTAATGTCGTGCCGTTTTGGCTTCAATAACCAGTACACACTCGTGTCTATGGTGCCAAAGTATAACAGAGCAGTAGTGTTGATTTCTACTATGCATCATGACAAGGAAATAAATCCAGAAAACAATAATCCGGAAATTGTATATATAGCTGGAGTGGATTTACTGGATATGAAGTGTGCGATTTACAGTTCAAATCGACGCACACGAAGGTGGCTCCTGGCGATATTTTACAGGATCCTTAGCATTGCCAGTGTGAATTCTTTTATTATATTCATGTGTTTCACTGGTTCAGAAATGATGACACGGTTAGAGTTCACCAAGCAGCTGGCCCAAACATTAGTGGAGCCCCACATGAGAAGACGACTAACCATACCGCAACTGCGAAGGGACGTCAAACAAGAAATAAAGAAAATACTGGGTGAAAACCAACAAGAAATGCAAGGCGATGCGATTCCCTCTGACAAAATGGAAAAGCGTAAAACATGTGGAAAGTGTCCGTCTGCAAAAGAACGCAAAACACAGTACAAGTGTTCCATTTCCATTTATAAATGTACATTCCATTTATTTTCCTTGGTTTTTAGTAAGAAAAATTGATAATTTGTACATGCCGGTCTCTCAGACCAGGTGACTCTACTAATGTTATGGGAGTGAAGGCTTGATAAAGGTGTTAAGTTCACCATGGAAACAGAAACTGCCAAAAAACTACCTTTCCTAGATGTGTTGGTCACCAGGACGATAAATGGAGATATAGAACTTGGTGTATACCGAAAGAAGACCCATCCCAACAGGTATTTACAGGCATGTTCACATCATCATCCCCAACAGAAGAGGTCCGTGATCCATACATTATTTCAGCGAGCCTATGTGAAGGAGAGAACTTGAAGAAGGAACAACACTTTCTACGAGGCGTGCTGCAGAAGAATGGATACACTTCGAGGGACATCAACCAGGCTATCAAGCAGCGAAAGCAGAACACAACAAAACACTACAAAACCACTTGGATTTATGTGTCTTCCCTATGTTTCAGGTGTAACGGAACGAATTGCTAGGCACCTCAAGAAGAACGACATCGTAGTGCGGCACGGCACGGTCAGCAAAATTCGGAACACACTCCCGATAGCCAAGGACAAACTAACTCCATTAAAAGGAGCNACACTTTCCTTACTTTTTTACAATATTATAATTAGTATTTTTTTTTACTTATAAATACCTGTTGTAACCATATATATTGGAAAACCACTTTCTTTTTTTATTGTTGAAATAAATAAGATATAAAAAGATGCATTCCATTTATTTTCCTTGGTTTTTAGTAAGAAAAATTGATAATTTGTACATGCCGGTCTCTCAGACCAGGTGGCTCTACTAATGTTATGGGAGTGAAGGCTCGATAAAGGTGTTAATGCAAGATTTGATGGGCGATAGGGATATGGAAATCTATAAATATCTGAAAGCATTCGGATATTTAAATGGTAATGTGAGCGGTTTACATCACCAAACGGGGTATACAACAATGACGGAAGGGCTACGTAGATTGCAGAGATATTTTCACTTACCGGTATCAGGTGAAGTTGATTTTAAAACTTTGGATTTGATTGGTAAGTCTAGGTGTGGGAATCAAGACTTGGAAGACATTTCAACGGACGCTAAACGTACGATACATCGGAAGTGGGGGATCTCAACAGTTGAATGGGCCATCTATAATAAATATCCAGATGGTTTTCCCAACATCGTTGAAAGGGCATTTGGGATTTGGGCTAAGCATATAGATTTAAAGTTTCAGAGCTCATTTACCGACGTTAACATTCTAATCGGGTTTAAAGGTTACAACCATACGTGCATACGGAACGTAGGGTCAATGTGCGGTAGTACATTCAAAAATGGAATTTTGGCTCACGCTTACTATCCCTATATTAATGGACGTAATGTTGAAATCCACATAAATGCAGATTTAGAGTTTGATTTATCTAACTCTACAGTAGATGGGAAATATAACCTATTTTTGGTAATGGTACATGAAATTGGACATTCCTTAGATTTAACGCATCGAGTTGAACTCGATTCCATCATGCATCCCAACTATGGTCACATAAGAATAGAGGATTTCAGGTTGAATAGCAGCGATATTGCGGCAATGCAAGCTATATATGAGAGGCCCAAACTGTATACATCATCGACCGTTTCAAGTCACGTTACGTCATCATATAGGAGCACGACGAGTCGGCCTACGACAAAGCCTGCCGTTCAACCCTCAATATTTAGAGACGTTTGCGAGGTGGATTCAACGTTTTCGGGTTTTTTAATTCACTATCAAACCATGTACGTGTTTTACAAACAGTGGGTTTGGCTAATGGATTTAAAGTCTAAACGACCTAAACAACCCAATCCTATAGACATAAATGATTGGCTGCCGACTTTGAGGAATGTTTTTCGTGCTGTAGACTATAGCTATAAAGTGTCTATCTCACCTATAGGTGACCTTATACTTATAATGGAAAATTCAATATATAGAATTGATTTTAAGAGTATGAATGTGCGGTCTGTGTGGCCATTTACTTCGACCGAGTTAGGGTTTAACAATTTTACTCGAGTTAANCCCATCGAAGGAAGAAATTACGCAAAATTTGTTTAGTAAGCTTAATATTTTCTTGTTTCTTTTTTCAAAGTTTCGTGGCTTAGTTTTTGCTTATTTAAACTGTTTTTTCTTTCTTTCAGATATGACGCTGGATGATTTTGTGACTCAAAGAAGCAAACAATTTCTATCTCGACTGCAGATCGACGACAGTTTTTTTCGGGAAGATATATCTTCTTGGGGTGCCAATCCTACTTTTTTGGAAGCTAGAAGACGAATAAGTCGTTTGAAGGTCATAAATGACACTGCTGAAAGAGCTGTTAAATTAATGCAAGATTTTAATGGACTTATCACGGCTGAAGAAGAGCAAAAACAGTTTTTGTTGCGTTGTGTTCAGGAACATAGAAATCTGTATCCAGACTGTAAAAAAACTACACTAAAGAGAAGTTACCCTAATTAATTATTATTATAAATTGTATTTAAATAAAAGTTTATGTTGATCTTATTTTATTTTTACTCATATTTACTTTATTTGTTGCATTCACCATAAACTTGAAATCACCATAAACTATCGTACATTGGAGGATGGATGGATCTGTCGATGGGGTTAAATTTACTGGATGATATACTGTCGTTCTATGATGAGGTGTATGTGAAGGGTAGCCAGAAGAGGGAGTTTTTGGAAAGCAGACCCTATTATCGGTTCCGATGTCATCGGAATTTAACGGTCAGGGATATTATCTCGGAGTTTTCTGAGAAGGAGGTTGAAGAAGATACTAAACTGACGGCAACTTCCAATCCATGCTGGTTCCACAACGATGCTCCCGCAGTTTGCTCGCAAAATAACGCCATAATTTTAAAGAATTTTTTATGTAATTTACATAGACGTGTTATATAAGAATTTGTTAAATTTTTATAATACATATATTAACTTTTATTTATTGTATTTATTTTTGAATCCTTATACATCCTTCATGCATTCACTGTCTAACCTCCATCACGCAAACATGTACATTGCGAGAGTTATTTTAATATATACGCTCTGGATACTTCCAACCCTAATTTTAATGCAAGATTTGGTGTACGATAGGGATATGGAAATCCATAAATATCTCAAATCTTTTGGATATTTAAATGGTAATGTGAGCGGTTTTCATCATCGTCATCAAATGGGATATACAACAACAATGACGGAAGGGTTACGTAAATTGCAGGGATATTTTCAACTGCCAGCATCGGGTGAAGTTGATTTTAATACTTTGGATTTGATTGGTAAACCAAGATGTGGGAATAAAGACTTGGAAGACATATCAGTAGACGCTAAACGTACGATACATCGAAAGTGGGGGATCCCAATAGTTAAATGGGCCATCTATAATAAATATCCAGATGGCTTTCCCAATATCGTTGAAAGGGCATTTGCGGTTTGGGCTAAGCATAAAGATTTAAAGTTTCAGAGCTCGTTTACCGACGTCAACATTCTAATCGGGTTTAAAGGTTATAACCATACGTACATAAGGAACGTTGAATCAATGTGTGGTAGTACATTCAAAAATGGAATTTTAGCTCACGCATACTATCCCTATATTAATGGGTGTAATGCTGAAATCCACATAAACGCAGATTTAGAGTTTGATTTATCCAACTCTACAGTAGATGGGAAATATAACCTATTTTTGGTAATGGTGCATGAAATTGGACATTCCTTAGGTTTAATGCATCGAGTTGAACTCGATTCCATCATGCATCCCAACTATGGTCACATGAGAATTGAGGATTTCAAGTTGAATAGCAGAGATATTGTGGCAATTCAAGCTATATATGGGAGACCCAAACTGTATACATCATCAACCGTTTCAAGCCACGTTACGTCATCATATAGGAGCACGACGAGTTTGCGAGGTGGATTCAACGTTTTCGGGCTTTTTAATTCACTATCAAACCATGTACGTGTTTTACAAACAGTGGGTTTGGCTAATGGATTTAAAGTCTAAACGACCTAAACAACAACCCAATCCTATAGACATAAATGATTGGCTGCCAACGTTGAGGAATGTTTTTCGTGCTGTAGACTATAGCTATAAAGTGTCTATCTCACCTATAGGTGACCTTATACTTATAATGGAAAATGCAATATACAGAATTGATTTTAAGAGTATGAATGTGCGGTCTGTGTGGCCATTTACTTCGACCGAGTTAGGGTTTAACAATTTTACTCGAGATAACGGGATAGTTACAAGCAATTACGGCTTGCCATACATATTTTTCGATGACATGTACGCAATTCAAGTGGATTTTAATTACTTTAGAAAGGAGAGAGTTATAGTTTCGNTGTTTTTCGTACTGTAGACTATAGTTATAAAGTGTCTATCTCGCCTATAGGTGACCTTATACTTATAATGGAAAATTCAATATATAGAATTGATTTTAAGAGTATGAATGTGCGGTCTGTGTGGCCATTTACTTCGACCGAGTTAGGGTTTAACAATTTTACTCGAGTTAACGGGATAGTTACAAGCAATTACGGCTTGCCATACATATTTTTCGATGACATGTACGCAATTCAAGTGGATTTTAATTACTTTAGAAAGGAGAGAGTTATAGTTTCGATGGGTGAACTTTTTCCGGGAATTCCGACTTCTTTCAATGGGGTTTACAAAGGTTCCGACGGCATCTTCAATTTCTTTGTTGGCGATCGAATCCTCCAATACGATGAATATTTAAAGGAGATTGTAGACACCTCTCACAAGAGCCTATCGATATTAGGGATAACTTGCCCCTATATAACAATTTTAGATCAATTGAAATCCCTTCTCTCCGCAATAATTTCGACCAATCTCTCAATTCCCGTAAATTATTGAGATGGGGAGGGGGTAATTAATTATACGTACTCGCTGCATACATTTAAATTCAGTTCTACATTGGAAATGGACATTGAGGGAGTGAGCGACGTCTGCGAAGAGACGGACTTGGATTATTGGAATTCAGTCGGTACGCAGTGGAAACGATATCTTGAATTGATAAAAAAGGAGACTAAATTTATCGGGGAAACGCAATTTTCAAGCGAATCTTTCAACATTAAAGTTGGAATTAGCGTCGGTAGAGGGGGTACAACCTGTGTAAAGTTCGTAGTAAGAACATGTAAAGGTTTGGAATCTCAGTCACATCAAATTACATTTTTACGTCAAGATTGGGAGCACCTAATTTCTACCCTTAAACTGATACGTTTCAATGTAGAGGTTTCCTCACAGACACTACCATTGGCCGAGAGTAATCTAAAGGTTGAATTTGACGATGAAGATTACCTGTATCTAACGTATGTGATTGAGGATTCTGAAAGTGGCGTATTCATACCGATTTTACTTCATTCAACGGATGTCGATAAGATTTTGGCAATGGAGAAGCTAATTACCTATAAAATGAACCTTTTGGATGGATTAAATTTTTGGGAATACATTAAATCCCTACAGCTAGTTGACGACGAAGATGATGATGATGATGATATCCATAACACGACGTCCATTGAAGAATTCTGTTTAAATAATTTATCGGAAATTAATTTTTATGTGATGGAATACTTGGAAATTATAAACTCCGCTACAACAGCTTCTATTTGATCACGTGATCACCTCGTGATATTGTCAGCCGCGCCTATCGTATCACGTGATCCCCTCGTGATAGTGTTCACCTACCACCATAACTCTAATCACACGTCTAGCTGCTTATCAGCTGAACGTTAGCGGTTGTCGCGCGCACATTTACACCGGAATTCAATTTTGCGATAAGATGTTTCTTTGCGAAGTGTGTAACGGTGCGTTTACCTTAAAGCGCAATCTTACCCGTCATATACGCGTAAAACACGGCGATGTGCGGGAATTAAACTTTAAATGCCATATCTGTGAAAAAGGTTTTTCAAGATCTGATAAATTAAAACATCATCTAAGAAGCGTCCATGGATTAAATGTTCAACGTTGTGTTGCGCCACCACCACCTTTACAAAGCACATCAACCGGTCCGGTTCAACTTGCGTCATCATCACATCCACCACCACCTAAACAGCGGCCCTGCAAGCCTTTAAAAAGTATATCAGGGGGCACTGTTCAACATGTGTCATCGCCATCAACATCATCGCGTCCTCCGCCTAAACAGCAACCCTCCAATTTATGTCCAATTTGCGGTGTTGACTTTATATCTACCATTCACCTTCGGACTCATCTAAGATTCGAACATGCAACCCCGGTGGAAGATGAAGATAACATCGATAGATTGGAATCCTGTTTTAAAGGTAGAGTTTGTACCTATAGAGTCGCAAGCGTGTTACCCGATGATGATATACCATCGTTCCTAACGAGATCAGAAGGAGCTGTTAAACGGATGATTGAGGTTAGTTTAGATCGATGTGGTCCCTCTATAAAGGTTCAGATTGAGTTTTTTGCGAATTATGTTAAAGCCGCGTATGATGAGAATGGGGATGAAGACGTATTAATGTCCGAGAAAAATTTTAATTGTAAATTTCAAGTTGTTTCGGTGGGTACGGATTTGCATGAGGTGTATGTTGGGATGTGTAGGGAAATTTTAGCTCAAAGCGAAGAATTTCAAGAACGCGACTCTGGGTGGGCCTTCTTCTCCGTATCTCACCTCCTGCTTAATATTAATAAATTTGAACCTATACCCGGAGCATCGTATATACGTTTACCACAGGTAATTGCTGAAAAACATGCGTGCGTAAATATTAAAAACTATACGGACGATGCTTGTTTAGCGTGGTGTTTGACGGCGGCTCTTCATCCTGCAAATCATAGTCACGATCGAACTACAAGCTACCCTCATTATAGTCAAGTACTTAATTTGCGTGGGATTACATTTCCCATTACTTTAAAAGATATAATTAATGTAGAAAAATTAAATAATTTAAGTATTAATGTTTACGAATTGATAAGTAGTAGTAGTAGTAGTGGTAAATACACGGTGGAAGGGCCAATTTATTTTACCAAACAAAGACGCGATATTCATATAAATTTGCTTTATTTATACGAAAACGGCAAGGGACATTTCGTTTTAATTAAAAATCTTTCAAGACTAATATCGAGTCAAGTCACGCACCGCGAACATTCTATACACCTTTGTGATGGATGTTTAACGCGGTTTTCATCCGCAGACAAGTTACTCACACATCAGACTTATGATTGTAATCATGTGATGACCGTTTTACCTACAACCGATTTAAAATCTAAACCAAACTTTTTCGGTTTAAAAACTCCGCAAAATATTTTAGAATTTAACAATTATAAATTCACTCAGATGGCACCATTTGTCATCTACGCCGACTTTGAATCGCTTTTAAAACCGATCGATTATTGTAAGCAGAGTAGCGCTAAATCTTTTACGGAAAAAATTGAGGAACATCAACCTTACAGTTTTGCTTATTACATTGTTTCCAATATTGATAGCAGTTTAAATAAATTTGAAACGTATACGGGACCGGATGCGCCTAAAATTTTTATCTCTAAATTAATTGATGATGTTAAATTACTTTACAACAAATACTTTAAAACTGTAAAACCAATGATACCTTTAACGGCCGATGAGCAACGGCATTTCGATTCGGCCGAAAATTGTATTATTTGTCAAAATCCTTTTACTTCAAACCAGGTTAAGGTTCGTGATCATTGTCATATTAGCGGCAAATACCGAGGCCCCGCCCATTCAAATTGTAATCTAAATTTCAAACTTCAAAATTTTATTCCGATATTTTTTCATAACTTTAGCGGGTATGATTGTCATTTATTTATTAAAGAAATGGGTGATGTAGACAAAGATGAGCTTGATGTATTACCTAATAATAAAGAGAGATACATTAGTTTCAGTAAGAGTTTTGGTTGATAAGGTAATTAGCGAAGATAAATCTGTTGGAAATGTTTTCTCTAAATTAAGATTTGTTGATTCATTTAGATTTATGTCATCTTCATTAGATTCTTTAGCAGGTAACCTTAATGAGTTTGATTTTATTAACGTGCGTAAATTTTACCCCCACAATGATCATTTTAAATTGCTGACCAAAAAGGGAATCTTTCCCTACACCTTTATATCATCATTTGATAGGCTGAATGCCACATCCTTGCCCCCTAAAGAGACGTTTTTTAATAATTTAAATTTAGAGGGAATATCTGATGAGCAATATACCCATGCCCAAACTGTTTGGAAGAAATTTAATTGTCAAACTTTCAAGGATTATTCTCATTTATACTTAAAGACCGATGTTCTTCTATTAGCTGATGTATTTGAGAAATTTAGATGGATATGTTTTAAAACGTACGGTTTAGATCCCGCGCATTATTATACGGCACCGGGGCTATCTTGGGATGCTATGCTAAAAGTCACTAAAATTAAATTGGAATTGTTGACGGATATTGATCAAGTTCATTTCATTAAAAAAGGTATCCGTGGGGGCATTTCCCAATGCTCCCTACGTCATGCTAAAGCAAATAATAAATATATGGAAAATTATGATGCTAATTCGCCCTCTAAATTTCTAATGTATTGGGACGCTAACAATTTGTATGGGTGGGCAATGTCTTAATTTATGCCCGTTTCCGACTTTAAATGGCTGACTGAAAACGAAATTCAAAATTTAGATTTTAATAATAACCCGATGATTCCGATTTCGGATATATTTTAGACGTGGATATTGCGTATCCCGAACAGTTGCACAACCTACATAATGATCTACCTTTCTTAGCCGAGAATTTAATCCCCCCTAACTGTAAATGCGAGAGCGATAAACGATTAATTCCAAATTTATTTGATAAGACAAATTATGTAATTCATTACAGAAATTTAAAACAAGCCGTTGCGCACTGATTAATTATAAGTAAAGTTAATAGAGTTTTATCGTTTAAACAATCCCCTTGGTTAAAGTCATATATAGATAAAAATACAGAGTTACGCCAATCGGCTAAAAATGATTTTGAAAAGGATTTTTTTAAATTAATGAACAACGCAGTTTTCGGTAAAACCATGGAAAATGTTGATAAGCGTCCGCTTAGTAACCAGTTGGGACGATATCAGGTCTGGCAAAACCGCAGGTAGACCTAGACTTGGAGCTCGGAGTTTAATCGCTAAATTAAATTTTAAAAGTGTTAAAGTATTCACAGAAACGTTTTCGGCAATTCAAATGGAGCGTCTTCATATCGTTTACGATAAACCTCTATACGTTGGTTTTACAGTTTTAGAACTCTCAAAATTATTAATGTACGATTTTTATTATGATTTTTTAAAACCTAAATACGGCGAGGACGTTCAGTTGTGTTACATGGATACCGACAGTTTCACCGTACTAATTAAGTCTGACGATGTGTATAACGATGTTAAATTAAATTTAGATAAATTTGATACATCTAACTACAGTCCCGATAATCGGTTTGACATCCCCTTGCAAAATAAAGCGGTTTTAGGTAAGATGAAGGATGAAAATTGCGGAAACGTAATGGTCGAATTTATTGGCTTAAGATCGAAGGTGTACGCAAATCGGGTTGCTGATGGGCGGGTTACTAAAAAATCTAAAGGTATTAGGAAAGCTGTGGTTAAACAAAAGCTTTCATTTCAAAATTATTTCGACTGTTTACATTCAAATTCCATCGTGTCTAGAAAACAGTTATTATTTAGAAGTTTTAACCACACGGTTTTTACCGTTTTACAAAACAAATTGGCCCTTTCCCCACATGATTCAAAGCGATGTATCGATGCCGATGGTATTAAAACATTGGCTTGGGGTCATTTTACAACTATTTCGAATAACGTTTAATTTTTTTGAGCATGTTTAATTTAAATTTTTAATATATGTATTAACTTAAATTTTTTG